CATCAGCATAGAACCCAGCATATATTCAAATTATTTCATGTAGTATAAATATATTCGGGAATACCTTCGTAATTTTGCCATGCTTTTTCATCGCAGATTTGTTCGGATTTAAGTTACGTTGTATCTGTCTGACTTTTAAGATAATGCTACCATAGCTGAATATGATTGCTATTACGCACAATAAAAAGCACCACACGAATATACAGACAATGTATGCGATATCAGCTGGCTGTGTACTTGTCCAGTCCAAAGAGCACGATGACAGGTACGGTTCTGGAACATATCTGTATAAATAAAACAACTGTATGAATGTTGGGTTGTATGCAGGTACAACATCTCTAGCAGCAATTCCACCAAACGGCGATATTTAATAGTTAAATAAAATCATCGAAGCTGCTACTAGACTATTCTCATAAACAGTTCTATATATGTGCTTCAAATATAAAACCTGTACAATATTAATATTGCACATACATTATTTTTTCTTTACAACTAGCCCTTGAAATAGACAAGCGTTATAAAATACAAATAGATATATATTTCACTTGGTTTTCCCAAATAACAAGACATATAGTGAACAAAAAGTGACAAACCTGTCCCATCCTACTAGAGGTGCAGTAGCCCAAAATGCTGAATATAACCATATAAAGACGATTATACCAATAATCCGTTTCTTTTTTTCAAAAAAGGAACCTGAAAGAAGCATAGTAATTACAATATTCGTATCGGGCTACAGCTGTTCACGGCTCACTGCCCTTCTATATTAGGACATCTGTACAGCACGCAATAATATTCATTATCAATGACACTTGCTTTACAAATCACAGCCTAAAATCAATGAATCAGAGAACAGCGAGTTGGAGTGAACTGTTACAGACTTAACTCCGTCAGTGGTTTCTTTAAATGGAATAGTGCAAATCAGTATACTGATCTAAATTATTACAAATTGAATGTCGCAATGATGGAGGTCTTTGGCTGGAATTCGATGTAGGGAGGGGATCTGTGCCTGAGAGCTAAATAGGAATTACATTCCATGTTATTATTACAGTTTCCAAACATATTTCCATACAGATACTCATTAAACATGGTGATATTAATAACTAGAAATTATGTCCATGCTGTCTATGCTACAATCAGAATACTACAATACGAATCACAATAACAATGCAATTTAAATCAGCATAATACAATACAAATAATTATAAACATCATCGACGTGGGATACTACGAACTACAATTCAATCTAAATAAAAGGAGTACAATCTAAATCACAATTATGAGTCTCACAGCCAGAATTCTTCGTATGAATATTAAAGTCAAAATCGGAATACTACAATGAAATTAGGTACAATAAAATATAGACTAGTAAAAAATAATCGGAATGATAAAAACAAATGCATTATCATCTGAATAAGAAAAAGATGTAAATTAATAAACAACTATATATATTATTATACTATAATAAAGTTGAATATACTGAAAGCGAAATCATAATATTAGAACCTGATTCAGTAGACCAGAATCTAAATTATTGTACGACAATTTACAATTTTATAAATTGGATTGCCAGGATTAAATGATGCAATTTATATCATAACACTACATTTTAAATTACAGTGCTACATTATATAATCGAAATACTGTGAGCTAATTCGTTATTGTACAAATCAAAAGAATTCCCCGTCTGTAAATATGCTCGGAAGTGTCTCAGATGCGTTCGAATTTTTAAAATGTGCATCACGTTAAGTTACATTTAAACACTTTTTTGTTGCATCGAATGCATTAACAGTGTAGCACGTGACTGGAATATAATCACATCAAATCATCGTATATCCCAATTATTTTAATATATCTAATTCAAAATATTATAATCTAAAATGCGATACGATCTAAATTAGAATAACACAATCAAACTAAGTAAGCTAAAGTCTGGATAGAACTAAGAACACATAATAATGAATATTTGATAGTTTTCGGTGATAATAAATAATAGAGATGTATGTAGTCATTATTACGATTTTTGCAAACACATGCAATGATGGTATACACTCTTACCTTGGCTACGTACTACTATTAAATATCGCATGATTGCGATAACAGACAATGTTGTCATGCTGACACAGTTGAAGAACCAACCAGAAAATCCAACTAATGTGCATTCACTTGAAACAAAGTATAACTTGAAAGATAAAAAAAATCATTGTCATAATGTAAGTGTCCTTACTTCACGAAGGAAACTTGTCATGTCATAAATTAAGTGCCGGTCTTTCTCAATGAGTACAACTTTAAGAAGTACCAATGTCATGTCAATCGTTCTTGTGCATGTGTAGACGATAATAGCACCACATCGATTGGAACGACTAACTAGAGTAATGCATATTGTGGAATTAAGCGATCAATGAAACCTTTATTAATATATTCATTTTCAAAATCGTGCAGCAAAGTTGAAGATAATCTTCTCTTCTGTAACTGATGTAATGCAATGTCTTATTATTTTGCCACTTCAAATCGCGGTACAAGTCAAAATACAAAATACATGACAGCAATCAACAAGCAAATGCACTACAAAACAGATTTGCAATAGTGAAAAAAATATTATATTTATATTTGAGACTAAAAAGCAATATTTGTAAGTGAGAGCAGGCTTTTTTTACAAGGGGCGTTCAATAAGTAATGCCCCTGACCCACTTCCAGTTATCTGATCTAGATGAAATTTTGCATGTGTAATGATTTACATAATGATGAACTGAGTCAGGTGTGAAATGGAGCCAGTTGAGTGCTGCGCAGTGATCCGACTTTTGTATTTGAAAGAACGCACACCTAAGGAGACTTTTGATGAAATGAAAGAAACTTATGGTGATGATGCCCCATCATATGACCTTTTAAAACGCTGGCATCGTGAATTCAAACATGGCCGGAAGTCTGTGGAAACAGCCTCCAGACCTGGTAATCCCTATTCTGCCATTGATGAGGCAGCCATTTTGGAAGATCGACACATTACTTTTCGCCAAATAGCCCAAGAGGTCAAGATTAGTACAGGGTTGTTGAAACTATCATTCATGACCATTTTCATCTGCATAAGGTGTCTGCCAGATGGATTCCCAAGTTGCTCACACCTTTCCAGAAGCAAGAACGCGTCGAGTGCTCGAGGATGAATTTGGAAAAGAAGATGAGTTAAAGTTTTTCAAAAGACTGATTACACAGAATGAAACTTGAGTCTATCACTATGATCCAAAAACCAAAGCCCAGTCAATGCAGTGGAAACACTCGGACTCACCACCCCCAAAGAAGGCAAGGGTGCAGCCCTCTGCTGGCAAGGTCACGCTCACAGTCTTCTGGGGCCAGAATGGAGTAGTGAAGACAGATTTGCTGGCAAAGGGTACCACAATTACAATTTTTGATGAAATTAAGAGAAGCTATCAAAATCAAGAGGCGGGGCAAGATCAGCAAAGGATCCTCCTCCTGCAGAACAACGCTCCCGTCCACAACTCGCATGTCGTAAAATCAGAAACACGGGCGTGTGGCTATGAAATCCTCCTCTATCTCTTTTACTCTCCAAACCTAGCACCCTCTGACTTTCATCTCTTCCCAGCCATTAAATTGTTTTTAAAAGGAAGGCGTTTTCCAGATGATGCAGCCTTGATTTCTGATGTTATGACGTGGTTGGAGGACCAACCTGGGAGTCAAGATCTGCATCAAACGATGGAAGAAATGCATAACTCTGGGTCGTTCCGACGTAGAGAAAAACTAATAACTGTGCCAAGTTTCATTAATCTCCATGGTGAGGGCCATTACTTATTGAACTCCCCTCGTATGCCGATATCTGTATACAAGTGCACACAACGTAGGAAAGAAAAATGTTGAATGTGATTTGGGAATGAATGGTTAACTAGCATGTTTCACTTACCATATGATTACTGGCTGACACTACCATCAGCAGATAACCAGTTGTAACGGCACCAATATCAGCGATGGCGATGTTAATAATAAAATAGTCGTGCGACTTTAGTTGTTTTCTGTTCTTTATTTTCACAGCTAAAACAGTAACATTGCCAAATAGTGATAGTGTACCTGAAATGAAGAATTGGATTGATAGTATTGATTCTAAACATGAACGACACATAATTTCAAACATTTGTGATGTTCACACACTCATAGGCTATGTGATCGTGTTCATTCTATGGCAATCCTTCCCAGCTGTAAAGTCTACGTCCTTACTTCACTTAGCATATGTGTTGGGCACGTAAAATGTGTTTTATCACAAGTATGACACTGTCAGCAAGGTTCTGTTCAGGTTTAAAGAAAATCTATCAAGTCGTTCATTGGCAGATTGTTTGTGTTGTCTTGTATGTTGATAAATACTAGGCAACATACAAGATAGTCAAAACACTACAATACTACAATACAATAACTATATCTGTTTATTTCACATATATATTGATGTCACAGTTGTAAACAATTAACTCATAAATTATTTTATAAAGCCACATATATTAAATTATATTGTTTATAGTGTTATTAGGTTAGTGTATCTCGGATTAGAATTGAATAAACTTGGATTCAGAATGAATAATTTATGTCAAAGCATCGCAAATAAATTACGGAGCAAGGTCGAAATAAATACTAAACTGTGATGTATCAGCATTAAATATAGTCACCAAATAATTTTAAAATCTGTAAAAAAAAAATATTCGTCTGACGGAATTAACAACTTTGAATTATCGTCGTCGACGCACTGTTTCACTGCTATGCCGTGATTTGTATTATGGTTAATTTATGCATCCGCTGTCTTCATTTTGTTCAGACAGGTTTGACCAACAGAACGAAACTCATACAGGGATACTACATATTCATGTATGTTTATTTGGACTAATTTGTCCAATATAAAACATCCCGATATTTAGTTTTGGGGGGTTTGCTATGAAGTCAAATTTATCACACATATTTCGGTCTGTTTAAACGTGTTTTCCCACCAAACCTTAACATAGTGTGACTATTGCATTTTTGCCCTTGATAGCTTAGACATCAACTAACCGAACTGTCAACTAAGCACAGATAAAACCTACTTCATGCCAAGTGGCTTCAATTTCATAATAATCCTTTATCATTGATTTAAACTATTTCTTTGTACCTTTCCATTTCAATGATATGGTGAAGTAGGAGAACAAGACAAATGTGACGCACTGAAAGTAACTGAATATTGTTCAGGTACGAGTCTGTTCTAATTGCGTCATTCATTATATATTCAACAGCAGATGTTCGCTTCGACCTGTTTTGAATATGACAGTACAGCGGGAATATCGAACCAAGGAAACATCATGGGAATGTCGAAATCGAACAGATTTAGCTAACTCTTTGTGTAGGACCCGATCAAACCCTGGGGGCTGCCATGTTGGAATTCGTAATTTGGGAAGATGAAAATACTCAATGCAATACTGCAAAATTACGGCGCGCTGTAATTTATGGCGTTACGGTGACAGAAGTATAATAATGTGTTTTATTTTAAATTTGAAAACAAGTCACCCATTATGTATGCCACTTTGATTTTAATTAATTACGTCATTTTTGTCATCCAAACATCTAAATATTTACTATCATTTTGATTTAAGAAGTACGTCTTGCAAATAAAACTTGATGAATGCTTGTAAATTGAGCATATATGGTATTGTCATTTCAGCTAAAATGGAAACGTACATGTACTATTTTTTAAAATTTTCAATTTTATTATGAATATATTAATCATTGTTTTTACTGCTAGTAGCGTAACTGGATTTGAATAGATTGCAATGCAGGATGCTTGACAAGTTTTTATTTTCTGGAATTATATATTTCTGGATTAAAATAATATTATTCTGTGAACTATTAATAGTTTATTTATTGATCATGTTTTTGTCAAATGCAGTTGTACAACCACATGTTTAGTGTATATGTCATCAAGATGCCCATTGGCCAATCATTAACCTTCGTTATCTCGTGAATTAAAAAAAATACATATTTGAAGAACATCGAGACTTTAGGAATATTCTTGATGTTGTAAAATATGTACATAATATATTAATGTTTTTTTCTACAATTGAATATAAAAAAGCATCTATATAATCATTAATTTAATTAAACAGACATTAACATACATTAACATACATGCGTAAAACATTTGCATACTATGAATAATCACGTGACCTTACTCATTTATTATGTGTTATTTTATTATTTGAATGATCTAATATAATGGAATGCTTAACATGTATTTCCAGTAGAACAAATATTGAAATACAAGTTATTCTGGATAGATGTCATTCGAGCCAATACAGCAACATTAGACTACATTTTCATAAAATGTGTACATGAAAGTGTTCAAAACAATATTGGTTCTATCATTAATGGTATATCTGACAATCCAGTGAACGTTCATGATATACCAGTGTTTGAAAAAATCATTTTAACCTATACACAGTTAAATATTGTCTCAGTGCTTTTTGAATCCAAAAATACGATAAAGGGATTATTAGCATAGTGTATTTTATCAGACGCACATTCTGTATGAATGTTTGTTAATTGGTTGCCAATGGCAACAACTGCAATATGCATTTTGTCTGACTATTGTATTGAGATGATTTGCTACCATATGTCATTGACACTAATGGTGTTTGATTGGTGTGCATAAAAGGCGAATACTACACACGATTTTGGTTTAAATTTGAATAACTAACTGATTGATTTATCAGCTAACACAACATTCATATTGCGGGTTGAAAGTATGAGAGTATAAGCTGCGTTTTTTTGTTTTAATTTATGTGTTATATTTTATATGATTTAATCACATTTTATGTTATAATATAATGAAAATCTGACGTGATTATTTATAAATAATCGCCTTTTACAAAACTATGAATAATCTATTGCAGTGTACTATATATACATACATTTTGACTGGTGATATTATGCATATATAATTAATACTTATATTTCAATATCTTGTCGTATTTATATATTACAAAATGAAGCATCTAAAATATGCCTTATAAATAAAAACACAAACGGCATCCCATAATGTCCCTAGTGTATTTAAATATAATAGTCACATATGATAACGTCATAGGTAATGATATTTATTTGTTTGCATATATTAAAAATGAAATACAAAAAGCATTGCGTCATAATACTGGGTTAGGTAAAATAGCTTTAGGTACTTCAGCTCGTTGAACAAATGTGCCTATTCATGTAGCTAATGAATACATGTACATGATTTGAACAAACTAAACAGAAACTAAAATATTACTTCAATGCATTTAGAATCTTCCAATCAATCATCAGAAACAGCGAGTACAAATATGATGGCATAAAAAGGTGATAGAAGTAACGAAATTACAACATGTTGTCTCCAGTGTTGAATGGCGCGCCACTAATAACAGTATCACAATGTTCTTATCATAGCTCAATTTATAGTTGATCAGGATTTTGCAGTTCAATCTCACTGTGTTTCGTTCAATTTTCAATTGATTAGCATTTTTTTCAATCATATTGTATTTCGCCCGTTCTAATTAATTAGTGGTTCAATCTAATCAATCAGTTGTTTTTTTGCTTTAGTTTCACTGATTTTCTAATTGATCGATTCTTTTGCGGTTCAACTGGGTTTCGTTTAATTTCTAGATGGTCAAAATTGTGAACATTCAATCTCATTGCATTTCTCTCCCAATCGAATTTATTAGTAGCTTGCTGTTTCAATTTCATTGTGTTTTGCTCACACTCTAATCGATCAGCTCTTTTTGTTTAAATGATTTTTGACGTTTTAATGTCATTGTGTTTTGCAATGGATCTCTTTCAGTCAGTGTAATCTCTGTCAAATTTATTTGTGACGTCATATCCGGCACTTTGATCTTCACTGGGAATCATTTATGGCTTGATAACTTGATAACTTATGTGTACGGGGTAATAACATTTATCTTTGGCGGTCAGCTACTCAGCGTGACAATTCAATCGCAAGCGCACGTGTCACAATAACATGAATTCAATGTGATTTACACCGCATGGTCTTGAAAAGTAAAACGTGGCTTTGAAAAAAGTGACAATGAAAAGACAATGGAATACAGTTGAGCCATCCGCAGTGTTTAATTTGAATTACATGTTGTTGTTTTTTTTGAAATTCAATTATTTATCGTTATTATAATATTTGCTGTTTATATGTTTTAAGACATAACTGATCTTTGTGCAAAATTTGGGCTGAATTCGGGCATCAAATGTTCAGGAATACTAGAATGTGTTACATAATATGCAGAGCTTTTTGTAAGGATGTTTACGTAAACAAAAAACTGTAAATTCATCCTTCATGATAACAGGACACGTCAGGATTTAACTAAGCTCGGTTCCAATGTCTTGTCCTTGTGCTACTACTGTGACTACCTTGGGAACATGAAGAACCGCTAGTTTGTTTACAAATAATATTGAGGGTAGTATTACAAACATGAACGACAAATACATATCCGCGGGACAGAGGATAAAATTACCTTGTTAACATAGTATAACGTGCATTTACATACACAGCAACGGCCAATCCATATAAAATGAAAACACGCTTTGAGCAACATTTATATATGAAAAAGCGTTAGCAAAGCACCCAGTCTAAGTATATAGAACACAAGGCCTTCTTGAATTATATTGTAGCGTTACTAATATTTTTCTACGCTATAAATGAAAAGAACACTAGTGAGAAATGAGAGGTTATGCTGCTACCGTCCAATTTTTGCCCCTCCCGACACGTAGCAATGCATTGTTGCACAAATACGCCAGAATAATAGTTTATTGAACAGGGAATTTTGTTTCTGACATTCATTCAACCCGTTGCATGAACACTTCATCATTTTCACTGCTTAATTATTACCACTGCAGTAATCTCACAAACTTGTGGAACGCGTTTCTCTAGCCTAATTGATCCGCCTGCAATTTTCGTTTCAATCGTATTGCGTTTCGCTCCCGCCCTAATTGATCAGTAGCTTCTCGTTTCAGTCGCATTTCCTTTCGCTCTCGTTCTAAATTTACCAGTGTTTGTTGTATAAACCATAATTAATAAGCAT